TCCCCATCTGTATTTTATTCCTTTGGGAATCAGAGCAGCTGTAAAAGGCTTGAAGGACTGTCTTTTCCTTAGTGTCTCTATTGAAACATCTTGGTATGTTTCCACTTTATGTCCCTTATAATTAAGATCTGTGACTCTCAACAAGGTGTTCACAACTAAAGTTTTCTTTGAAAATCTGGCAAATCACATAATAATATCCCTGGGGGTGTTGTTAGCTGGCCGTTGCAGCATTAGGGAGTGATGCATGCGTTCTATGTTTGATGGTAATAGATTTAGCTCAACATTTATTTTATTCATCCATGCAGGTATTGAATCTTGTAGGGAGGAGGGGGCGACCGATTCTGGAATACCCTTCAGATGAACGTTTACCCTTCTTTCTCAGTTTTCCAAATCTCCAGCTTATTTTGCAGGTTAGAATTTTCTTCTTCAAAGGTGCAAATTATCTTTTCCTGATGAGATCCTTGTTGGAAGGCAGTGTTTGCAGTTTCCTCTACATCTTGGATTTTGTTTGAAATCTCAGAGATTTTCAAACTAAGTGGCTCTAAAGCAAGTGGCCCGTCCCTTTGTAGATCCCTAGCCAAATTTTGACATAACCTTTCCAGTAATTCTGAAAAGGGAATGTCTGAGACAACAGGAGATCCATTCTACTTGTCTTATTAGAGCCACACATCAGTTATTAGAGCCACACTCTCTCTTCCAGTTGTCTTAGAGCCACACTCTCTCTTCCAGTTGTGATTTTGCTTCTTTTGTGGGTGTGCAAAAATCCGTGATAAGTTGATCAGCTGCCCTCTTTAATGTGGACATCATTACTCACTGTCTTCTTGATTTTTACATTGAAATTCTTGCTTTTATTTATAATTATCAGGATTGAGGCAGGCTCTTTGACTATAAATAATAATAATAATAATAATAATAATAATAATAATAATAATAATAATAATAAATTTTAATTTCTAGCCTGCCCCTCTGCTCTGCAATCGGGGCGAGTTACAACATTTTAAAACATACAAAGTTAAAACAAGCCTTATCCCCATAACCCCCCTCCCACCCCCTAAAACAAAATTAAACTTTAAGAGATTAAAACATAATACAGTCTAAAACCAATAGATTACAAAAAACAATAGAATCAAAAAATGAAGTGAGCTACAGATAAGGGACAGTTGAAACCATCTTCCCTCAGGTCGGAAGATTATTCCGGGAAGGCCTGCTGGAAGAGGTCCATCTTTACTGCTTTTTTAAAGGCAGCAAGAGTAGTAATAAGACGGACCTCATCCAGCAGGCCGTTCCACAGCCTGGGAGCAGTTGCAGAGAAGAAACTATGCGTCTGCCATGTTTGATGGCTGGCCACACACACCCAAACTCCCTTGTTCTAATAGTTAATCTGATTCACTGTGTGAGACCATACCAGGTTATAAAAGTAATTTAGTACTGAGGACATGCATTTGTCAATGATAAAATTGTTCAAGGTAATGTTGAGCTGGAGGACAACAGATACATATCTAAAAGAGGAACTTGTGGAAGCATAACATTTTAATGGCCCAGAAACCTGAGGGGATCCAGCCCAGTTTGGAAGTATAATAACTGGAAGTGCTTTTGAATGGTGGCCCATGTTTTCCCCACATATATGTTTAAGAAAGAAAAGGGGCCAGCCTACAAAAGATACCCTCCACTTACCATCTTAACTAAAGACAGAAACATCAAAATCTCCAATTTTTTCTCCTGATTGGTTTGTAACATCTTGCCCGATGAAGAAGCCCGTGGAGCTTTGAAAGCTTGCAACAAGTATATTGTGCATTTTGGTTGGCCAATAAAGGTATCACTGGTGGATTTTTGTTTGAATTTGCTAAATGGCCAACATAGCTACCCCTGCATATATGTTTAATAGTATAATTAATTCTACCACCTAATTCTGCTGCATTTGTAGATACAATATATAATGCAGGGTTTCTGGCTCAGTTTTAGCTGTCATATAATGCCGTTGGTTTAACTTAGGGGTGCACATAACTTGTTGGGGGATCTGTTTGCTATCATGATGTAAAAATTCTGATTTATTTTTTTCAAATGCAGCGTAGCATGTAATGTGTTACACTAGACTGGGGAGGATGTTGCTAGAGTTTGAGTAATTGTGGCAGTTTCACCCACTTCCTACTCTATGACATTAAAAAAAGTAAAAGATAGTATAGAAGACAAAACAGAGATATTCTTTCTAAATTTGAGATTCAGAATTTTAGCTTATATTCCAATAATCCTTACAAGAACCAAAAAGAAGTTTACAGTATTCTACAATGTGATATCTAACCTAATTATGAGACAGAATATGAAATGTGCTATGCACATTTACAACATCATTCGCTGTTTAAACATTGACTCCACTTCTACACTAATTTACAAAGGAGGGAGGGAAAACAAAAGTTACATACTTTGAAAATATGCAATTGAATATTTAATGATAGGAGGGATTATAATTCATGGGTTATGGCAAAATTATAAACCAAATCACAGTCTCTTTTTACTTGCACAATATTGCATGGAGTGAGCAGCCCTCGCAAATGCTGTGCTTGATTTTTCTATAAAACTTTATTCTACAGAAAACAAATCAGTATATTTTTTGTACTAGCTGACGTAACAATTCATGCTGCTAATAATCCACTTGACACAAATCTCTTCATTTTTCTAAAATCTCCATCTGTGGTTTAAGCCTATTGAAACAGCAGAATGATGCTGAACTAAAAGAAGAAACTATTAATTTACTGCTCTGCTGAGCTGGTGGCATCTGATGACTATGGAAGTCTGTTTTATACCTGGGAAGGAAATATTACCTAAATACTTTAGTCAACAGATAGATATTTAATGAAACAGACTTGGGTTGATGCATTACATAAATAAATCGGATATGACTGGCTAGGAGGAGTAAACAAGCTCCCAGACAGACAAACACAACAGTGGTATCTATCATTTCCTAGGATACAGGGACAAAGTAGAGTATTAAATGCTGCTTTATAAATAGAACTCCTGACATCTTTGCTTTCAGTATTAAATATGTATCAGCTTCAAATGTGACTTCAGATTTTGCTTTGGACAACACAGAACCACTTTTCCATGGCAATTTTTGTCTAATTAGGTTGTGATACTAGCTCAGCGTACCATAAAAAATAATATGTCTACTTTATTAATTCCAAACTCAGTTACATTGATCTCCAAGCTGAGTATAGTGGTGAAGCAATCACAAGACCAATGCAGCTAGTCCCTAACTCTAAGGTACACTCAAAACATTTTCAACATGTCAGCAGCTGGTCAGTGTGAATTAGTTTCATGTGGCATGGGAATTATGTGGATTTGAATGCATCCAGCTTGAGCTGAGCAAAAAAGGGAAGGATTATACAGCAGGTTCTCCATATACTTAGCTTAACCTCTGCACTACTAAAGAGCTTCTGAAAATGGGTTGGCAACAGTATGCTGGCTGTGTATTGCACTGGAAATTAAATGTGTGATGCAGACATTTTATGATCCTCTCACCATGCACTCAGTTTAGCCTGGATCCACTGGTACCACATAAATCATTTCAACACAGTAATGACAATTGGCTCAATCAACTGAACGTACTTTTGTCATACTGCAACACTCATTTTCTCTTTGTGTTTTCTTCTTGCTTCTATTCATTTGATTTATACTTGGGACCTTTGTCCCAAGAATGGAACTCAGAGTGACGTACAATAAAACTAAATAAAACAAATACAATTAAGACATAAAATGAATAAACATAAAGATATATAATACAATGTAAGAACAGATAAATAAGAGAAAATACAGCACTTAGCCAGCGAAAAGCCCCTTCTGAAGCAAGCAAGGTCAATTATCAAAGGCCTCCCTGAATGAAAAGGTCTTTGAAACAACAGGAGGAGAACTGGTCTAGTTTTCTTAAGTGACAAATTCCAGAGCTTAAGGAACAGTCAATGTCCTTATTTTACAGATTGTAAACCGCTTAGAGAGTGCTGAGTTCACTGATAAGCGGTATAGAAATGTACATGCTATAATGAGAAAGCCCTAGTGAGTTATGTCTCACAGTGGGACAATGGATGTGAGGAGATAATTTTAATAATTAAGCATTCTTTTTAAAAGTTTTTAATTTTAACTTGCCTTTTATCAAAAGTTAGAAGTGAAATCCATAACTTGTATAAAATTTTGGGAGGCATATATGCTGCTGTCTTAGGGAGGCTGACAATCATGCAGCTTTGAAGAGCCATTTAAAAAAGAGTCACAGAGTCACTGCTATGGTGCAGGAGGAGAAAGCAAGGGCCTTCATGATGTTCACCGTTTCTGCTTCTTCAAAGGGCTACACAGGAAATCGCCCATGCTACTCAGGCAAGCCACTGGAGGCCCCATTTTGGGAAAAAGACAGGAAATAAATAAAATCAGATAGAGAGAACCATTACGTTCCAGGCAAACTCTGTCCTGTGCGAGGCTAACTGCCCCTTTCTTAGAGCTAGTCTACACATAAATGTATTATGCACACTGATGCAGCTTTTTGCACATTTGCATTAACAGTTAATGGTCTTCACTTTCCTGTGCAAATTTGTATCTATTCACCCTCCCTCTGCCAAAAATGCACAGCCAACTGAATCCATGTGAAGCAAATGGATGGCCAAATGTGCAATGATACGCATTTCTGTGGATTTCCAGGGTACTCCAGTAAAAATAGTGAAGCCTTTTTCTAATGATTTTAAAGCCTGAACTCCTGCAAATCATGTGTGGGTGGATTGAATTCTGTTCAACTGGAACGAGTAGTAGTTTAATCATGTAGGCTAGCCCCTAGCCAGAGAACATTAAATTTCCTAAGAAATCTCTGTATGGTGTGTTGTTGTGTACCTCCAAATTATTTTTGACTTATGATGAACCTATCATAGGGTTTTCTTGGCAGGTTTCTTCAGAGGGGGATTGCCATTGCCATACTCCAAGGATGAGAGAGTGTGACTTGCACAAAGTCACTCAGTAGATTTTTATGCTTCAGTGGGAATTGAACCCTGATCTCCAGAGTTGTAGTCCAGTTCTCAAACCATTATGCCACACTGGCTCTCATCTGGAAAAACATTTAGATGCTGTAGATAAACCATCAAGATTTTATTTTTTTATTAGTTTTTATTTTTATTTTCTTAAAATATATTCAACTTTTTATTACAAACATAAAGGACTATATATAATCTCTCTCTCTCTCTCTCTCTCTCTCTCTCTCTCTCTCTCTCTCTCTATATATATATATATATATATATGATGCTGGTCATACATAATGTCATGCAGGAGGTATGTGAAGCTTATATCCTCAAAGAGGAAGACGTTTTTTAGACATATCACTTCTTAAATCTTTGTTAGAGTTTATATATGATGGCTTAGTGCCATAATTCATTAATCTTCTCCTATTTGTCGGAATAATGTTGTTCAGATTTGCCATTTATCATCATTGTTAATTTATCCATCATCATTAAGTCATTCACTTTTATAATCCATTCTTCAATTATATGTTTATTTCCCCCTTTCCAATATTTTGCAAATACTATACAGGCTGCTGTGATCATATATAGGATTACCCCTATCTCATCTTTGCTCAGCTTCCCCTTCAGTTCCTCAGTTATGTTTAACAGAAATAATTTTGGTTTTAGCTTGTAGTGTATTTGAAAAAATTCTTCTACCTTTGTGTGAATCGCCTTCTAAAACTTCACTGCTTCCTTGCACTCCCACCACATATGGAATAAATTAGCATTATTTTGTCCACACTTCCAACATTTATTTTCATTGCTGTTTTTAATCTTAGCAAGTTTTGCAGGAAACAGATGCCACCTGTAAAGCATTTTATAGTAATTTTCTATCAGGCTTGTGCTTTTAGTGAATTTAAAAAATTTTAACCATACTTTCTTCCAAATGTTCAGTGGTATTTGTTCTTCTAGATCCTGCATCCATTTTATCATGCTTTCTTTAATTGTTTCTTCTTTTAATTCAATATCTAATAACTTCTTGCAAACTCAAGAAGATATGATGTGCTTTTCACACCTGTCAAATATTATAAACCATCAAGATTTTCCATAGCTTGACTCAGTCATTAATCAGAATGGAGTTAATAAATAAGAGGAAGACTAGGACTTGGAAGGGGAGCTATGAAGGAACTAGAAAAGATCCTGAAGTGTAAAGATATATAATTGAATACCAAAGTCAAGATTGTCCGTGCCATTGCATTTCCTGTGTCTATGCTTGGTTGTGAAAGCTGGACTGTGAAGAAAGTTGATAGGAAGAAAATCACCTAATTTGAAATATGGTGCTGATGAAGAGCTCTACAGATACCGTGGACTGCTAAAAAGATACATCAATGAGTCCAAGAGCAAATAAAGTCTGAACTTTCCCAAGAAGCCAAGATGATTAAACTGAGACAGTTGTACTTTGGCTATATCATGAAAAGACATGTATCAATAGAAAAGACAGTAACGCTTGCTAAGGTAGAAGGCAGTAGGAAAAGAGGAAGACCACATTCCAGATTGACTCAGCCTTTGCAGACTGCTAGAAATAGTGCAAATTGAGTCCACTTTAACGAATCATGGGAATTGTAGTTTGTTTCTGAGACATTGAGCCTTCTCTGCCAAAGAGCTCTGGTGCCACAATAAACTACAGTTCCCATGATTCCCTAGCACTGAGTCAGGGCAGTTAAAAGTGGACTCAATTTGCACTATTTCTCGAGAAAGCCACGGCATTGAATCTGCAGGGCCTAAGCAGGGCTGTTGATGACAGAGTGAGTTGGAGGTCACTATAAGTCAAAGTTGATTTGACAGCAGCAAACAATGACAAAGAGCTAAAACTTGCCAATTGTAGTCCAAATGAAAGAATTCAACTTTGATGGAGGTAGAAATGTCTGAGTTACATCCCATTCCATTTGCTCCCTCTTGTTGAAGTTTGCCCTGTTGTGGCAAAATTTGGTATTTTCAAATTCAGGAAACATTTTCAGGGTAGTCATATTGGCCGTTTAGCAAAATATGACAGAATTCAAAATACACAAAATAGTTATACCTTTATTAGAACAACTGAAATGCACAAATGCAGTATGATCCCACCCGCCCCAATCTACAGCACCAGGACCAGAAGTTTCACTTACTCTCATCTGAAAAAACTGTCTCACTAGGCACCCGGAGGTCCTCCAAAATGACTCTATGATCAATTTCAGCCAGAAATACAGGGTTCGCTATCATCTGCAATTTTCATTATCCACAGTAAGTCTGGGAATGTAGCCCCAATAGATACTGTGGTTGTACTGTACAATGCAAGCTTGCGAAATACTATCTAGTTTAATTCCTAAAGATTACATGGAGGGGAGTGCTATAAAGATTTTTTTTAACTCATAATATGAAAGACTATGAATGCAAAGAGAGCTTGACCGATTATAGTGTGTATAACATCTTATTGCCATGGAAAATCCGTCAAAATGTTAAACTGCCATTAGACATGTCTCTCAATAATCTATATATTGACCAAAGAAGAAAGACAGGACTTTAAAGGATCTTGGCAATGTTGTGTATGCATTCTGCTCGGTACTGCATTCAAAGTGGGTTAAAGCACATGTGAAAATAAAAACCAGTTAGTCTTAAAGGTGTTGCCACATTTCCTTCCCCCCTTTTCTCCTCCTCCATTCCTCCTTTTTATTTTGTATGCTGCAATCTTGCTTTTAGACATTTTTTAAATGCTTCTTGAAAATTGCAGCTTTTAAAAAAGATTATAATACAGTTGACCCTCTGTTCTTGCAGAGCATCTGCTCCGGACCCCCCCCCCCACAAGAATGGAAAATTGCTTATATTCAAGCCCCATAGGCACATGCCCCATTTTGTGACCCTTTGTTTGCCGCCCATGAATAGGTGTGCGACACAGATCCCAATTATGTGAGAATGGAGGGACAACTGTTCATTTTCTTAGGGCAAAGACCAGTTTGCAAATTAAGTTAAGAACCTTGGATGAATAAACCCATTTAGGTATGTGCATGCGTAGACACATATAATACAAAAAGCAGGCTAGGATACAGAAGAAGGAGGAGTAAAAATAGGAAGAAGGAATAGTAACAATCTAAGGTATGCAGATACACCATACTACTGGCAGAAAACATCATAAACCTAGAGCAATTACTAAGGAAGATCAAGGAAAAAAGTGCAAAGGCAGGTTTATTAATTAACATTAAAAACCCAAAAATAATGACTACAGAGAATATACACAGATTCAACCTAGATAATGAGGAAATAGAAATCGTAAAAGAGTTCTCATATCTGGAATCCAACATTGATCAGAGCAGAGACTGCAGTCAAGGAATCATAAGAAGGCAAAGAATGGGGAGGGCAGCTTTGAAAGAACTAGAAAAGATCCTAAAATGAAAAGATATACAATTGAGCCCAAAAGTTAGAATCATACCATCCATTGTATTTCCTCTTACCATGTATGGATGTGAGAGCAGGATGGTTAAGAAAGCAGATAGGAAGAAAATCAATTCATTTGAGATATGGTGCTGGAGAAGAGTGCTGAGGATTCCATGGTCAGCCAAAAGATCAAACAAATGGGTCCTAGAACAGATCAAGCCAGAAATCTCCCTGGAAGCCAAGATGACAAAACTTAGGTTGTGGTACTTTGGCCACATCATGATAAGGCACGATTCATTGGAGAAAACAATAATGCTAGGAATGGTGGAGGGAAGTAGAAAGAGAGGAAACCCATATGCTAGATGGATGGACTCTGTTAACGAGGTCATGGGTATGAATTTGCAGGAACTGAGCAAAGCAGTAGAGGACAGGGAGTCTTGGAGATGTCTTACAGGGTCTCCATGGGTCGACACCGACTTGAGGGAAGTTAACAACGACAAAAGTATCCTGTGTCACCTGAATGGAAAAATGTGGTCAATGCTATAGGTAATTTCACCAAGCCAGCTGTAGAAATCATAGTTAGAGGAAGACTTGGAAATGTCTCCTCCATGGGGTCACCATGGGTTGAGTTCGACTCCAGGGCAGTTAACAGCAACAATAATGCATAGACACACACATACACAAAACCAAATAAAAGTTTTAAAAATCCCCTCTGGGCATTCAGAGTTATTGTATATGCAAAGGGATCTTGTAGCACCTTTGAGACCAACTGAAAGAAAGAAGCTGGTAACATGAGCTTTTGTAGACTTGAGCCTACTTCCTCAGTTACTGTGGTTAGGGTGACTAAAGCTAAATGGCAGAAAATGTGCTAGTCATCCTAGAATAGTTTTCGTCATACAAAGGAGGACAAACGTCTCACTCAACAACAACACTTTTGTTATTTGACTGCATGACATCCTTTGGTAAATCCTGATTGGCTGGAACCCATAGATGAAGCCTTCCTCATTCATTACTTCAGCTCTATGTAGTACAACACAAGCAGGATATTTAAGCAGGGAGTTCACTTCCTGTCTGCTGGACACATACATTTAAATTGGCTACATCTATAGAATGCTTGCTTCACTGATGATATATCTTTGGTAAAGGGAATTAAGCTGACATAATCCTGTTACTTCTGTCTAAAGGCAGAAGCAGAACCTGCTACGAAAAATACTCTAATAACTGTTAAAAGGATACGGACTGATAAAAATAAAAGGCTGTGCCATGTAGACAGAAATCCTGGGACCTTTGTCACTACATTTTTCAAGTTAAACTTCAAAAGATCTTTAAAACTTTTTTAAAAGATTTAGATTTTTTTTCTCGTGTAGTACTCTACAATATTAAATCTGCATTATGTAAAGTCCTGAGGCACAAACCACACCGACATGACTAATCAAAACATTTAAAGTATGTAATAAGCAACCTTTAACACACTCCTTGATACAGCATATTACACAAGCTGGTGAATGGTAAACACTGTGTTTTACAGCTGACATACAGTTGCACTTAGGACTGTCAGGATCCAAAACATGGCAGGAAAGCCAAGAATCCTAACTTGATCTTAAGTTTGGACTCCCAAGGACTGTATAATGGCAAACTCAGAGAAAAAGTGATCTTTCGATGAAGCTTCACCTGAACTTTTTTTTTTTAATTTAAA